AAAACTGGTAAAAAAAACAAAAACACTGAATAAAGTTAATGAAGTAAGTTTCATTTTAATATTATATTTTCTCTGACAAAGTTCAGTTGACAAAGGAGTGCCCAGATGGCCTGTCAGCTGACCTGCTGCTGATGTTAGCTCAGCTTGTTTCTCTAATAAATTAAGATGCAGACGTCCAATGTTGTAAAGCCTTCATCCAGTTCCATATAAGATCTAAAAAGTGTATCGTAAAAATCTGCCCTACAACTGTCAGTTTCTGGCAGACACATTCACAAAAGGGATATGACGCCAATGACGGGGGATCGGTGGAACACACCGTTACTGGAATAAAATTACAAATTTCTCTGGATTTGAATATTCTTGGAAACATTTGGGATAATGTAAGCACACAACTCAACAAAATATATAACATAGGGCTAGTGTTTTTTGACACTTTACTGCAGAAATGTTACATTGTATAGCTTCAATTAATCATTTGTTTTGTATCAGTGAAAAATATCCATTATAATTTCCTAGAGCCCAAGATGACCTCATCAAGTGTCCAACCAACAGTCCAAAACTCAAATATTTTCAGTTTACAATCATATAAAACAGAAAAATGAAGCAAATCCTCCCATTAGAGAGGCTGTAGGAAGTGAAAACAGCAGCTAGTGCACATGCTCAATGAACAAAGAAACAGAGAGTGGGCACAGAGCGCACACACAGCCAAACCCACTGAATGCTGTACGGTAGAGGCTGACCCGCTATGTTCATTTATTTCTCTCGCATATTACGATAACAGAGTTCCCATTCACCTTCCCCCCCACCTCTGTCTGACCCACATGTCTGTCTCTGTCCACAACCTGTCTGTCACCCTCTCAGGCGTGGAATGTCCTGGCCCTAGATGGCAGTAACTGGCAGAAGATTGACTTGTTCAACTTCCAGACAGACATAGAGGTAAGGGGGTGCATTTATGAGAGAGAAAGAAAATTGTACAATGGACAGTATTTTTGTGTGTGCGTACTTGCCTATGTGCTGCATGTGTGTGCTTGTTGAGTAGCATTATCCAGCCCAAGGCTTAGTGCTGGGTCAGTAGGCTTTGGTGCCGACTGTGACGTCACAGCTGATCCTCTGTCCTGTGGCTCTGTCCATCTCTTTGTCCATCTCTTTTTTCTTTCTCTCTGTCCTTGTGTCTCTCAGGGCCGGGTGGTGGAGAACATTTCCAAGCGTTGTGGAGGCTTCCTGAGGCAGCTGAGCCTCAGGGGCTGCCTGAGCGTGGGGGATGCCTCCATGAAGTGAGATCCTGTTGTGTCTCTGGCATTTACTGATATAATAAGTGTGGTTCTGCTTTGACTTTTACCAAAAGCCATTCTCCTGTTGGTTTGATTACATGCTGTTTAAGTAATTATGTTCACGTGTGATTAAAGTTTAAGGAGCTTGTTCCTCTTCAGTCCCGGGGGACTCTGTGCTAGAAACTCTTTTTTTTTATTCCATTTAATCTCACTTTACTGTGTACACACACCAAAAAACAAAAGAAGAACAATGGTGGTGGAAGTTTTTACATGAAACTGTTGCAAATCTTTACATGTGCAATTACATGGTTTTGCTTTGAAGATTTCTATCATCTCTATAAGCTACTGTTTTAAAGAAGTAGCAGCTGTACTCTCTTTCGAGAGTAAGATTGTCATAAAAAAAAACATACAGTAGCTGTACAACAACCTCCCAAGGGCCTGTAGATGACTCTGTTAATTGGCTCCTGAGCAGCCCCTAGTATCCTCCTTCTTATTTATTCAATGAAGCGACTCTTGAGTAATTCCCCTTCTCCCTTTCTACTGTTCAACTGTTTCCCAGGACATTTGCTCAGAACTGCAGAAACATCGAAGTGTTGAACCTGAACGGCTGCACCAAGATCACAGACAGCACCTGTCTCAGCCTGAGCAAGTTTTGCTCCAAACTCAAACAGCTAGATCTCACCTCCTGTGTGTCCATCAGCAACCACTCCCTCAAGGCCCTCAGGTAGCACCCACACACTTGGTATTTCCCTGGCTACTTAAACCCAAACCCATGTAACCCAACCCCTATTAATCCCTTGGAGAAAGCCAATCAATTCCTCCTCAAGCCTTCACACACACAGTTTTTCTGTTCAGGTCTTAAGGAAATGTAAACATACAGAGCAGTAATATATCATAACATATCTTTGGTTCACATGTCCTGTGTGTTTTGTCTTTGTGTTTTCTAATGTAATGTGCATGCGCAGTGATGGCTGCAGAATGCTGGAGATGTTGAACCTGTCATGGTGTGACCAGATCACACGTGATGGCATTGAGGCTCTGGCTAGAGGCTGCAATGGTATACGAGCGCTGTTCCTCAGAGGTTGCACACAGGTACAGCAATGGCAGCGCACACACACACAAACAACCACACACACCCCAGGGCAAAACATTATTTTTCTTTCAGGGGACATTTTAAGCCTTCTTTCTTTCATTTTAAACCCTTTTTTAAAGTGCTTTTATTCAATGTTGAAAAATACCTTTTTTAAGTGCAATTCCAATTATCTCAACTTCTTACAGATTTTTACCATAAAATACCAAGATTTTTTAAAAGGAGTCAGGTTTATATCTGCATATGTATCAAGACATTTTTGTGTTCACTGCTGCCAGAGGACACTGTCCACTATAGTTTACTGTAAACAGGGTCATTTGTGGGTGAAGACATCTCACAGTGTGATTCAGCAGTGGGAAAATGGGAAAAACTACAAACAACTCAAGACAGAAACCTATAAATTCCCGGATTATTAAAAACAAAACCTAAAACCATAATATACCCCACACATTACTTACTGAAGAGAAATGTGCTCTTTTTCCTACTTGCTGTTCTCAACGTAGTACAATTTCCATCCCTTGGAATAATTTTTTTTAACTTGTATTTTAATCTCATTGGTTGTTTTTTGTTGATGTAGTGGTTTTGTGTCTGGCTGGCATTTTCTTTTTCTGCTGCCTCTGTAGAGCCAATATTTTCTTCGGGCTCTGCTCATTTGTTGTTTTATTTAACCAACGTCTAGTCTATTTGTCTCGCCTGGAAAAAATACAATGAAATCCCCATGAATCATCTTTTGGGGCTCACATGGGACAGTAGTCTCACATGAACTGATGTAACTCATTGGAAATACAGGGTGAAATGTAGCAAAGATTTCTCCCACTTACTGAGGGGCATTCACAAGCTGCTGTTGACTGTTAGCAGATACATCAACTCAGTCACATACATAAATTATTGATCTAGGTGTTTGACTAACAATATGCTGCATTTTCTGTTTTAACCCAGCTGGACGATGGTGCATTGAAACACCTTCAGAAACACTGCCCAGAACTCACCACCATCAATATGCAGTCTTGCACAGTAAGACAAACAGTTTGTTGTGGGACGTGGGGAGGGGGAGACTGATAATAATGCATGAGGGATGAGTCTGTGTGCCTCTGTGTTTTTGTAATTTGTCTTGTGTGTCTGTTGCCTCCAGCAAATAACAGATGAAGGCCTGGTCAGTCTGTGCCGAGGATGCCACAAGCTACAGATCCTTTGTGTGTCTGGCTGCAGTAACATCACTGATGCCTCCCTCACTGCAATGGGACTGAACTGTCCCCGACTCAAGTGAGAAAAACACACACAGACATATAAGGACACAAGGACATCAATAGCTTCCTTCAGTATACGCAAAATATCCATCTAAGGCAGTGTGATTAACTATCATTTGCAAAGATTGTCTGGAATCTTTGTAGAATCATTTGTGGTCCCTTTTTAATCAGTGCTGTCATTCCACACACTTAAAAGTTGTGAAAGACGGGTGCGCCAGAGTAATCTCACAAAAAAAGGAAAGGACCCACACACTGTCTAAAGCTTGGAAATAAAGCACTGAACCCATTCATAACCAGTTGCTGGCTGATGAATGTGTTTAATCTTCGTAACACCCCGCACTAAACCATACCCTCTGCGTAGCCTTTACAACTTGCATACATGTTTGTTCTCAGGATCCTTGAAGCTGCACGATGCTCCCATGTCACGGACGCTGGTTTCACTGTACTGGCGAGGGTGAGATTCATTTTGCTGTTTTTGTTCCGTTATCTCTTCTGTGAACCATTTGTTGGCTTGACTGTCCATTTCCCCTTGGTATCTTTGAGATTCATTGAACGATTTCTGTTTTCCCTCACAGAATTGTCATGAGCTTGAAAAAATGGACTTAGAAGAATGTATTTTGGTAAGACAATTTGTGATGTGTGTGATTTATTCCAGACATCATGCTCATGGTATTTATTTATGCTTTGATGCATTTGTCCAGGTAAAGATTAGATTGTAGGAAAAAGACCATTGTGACTGTATGCATGGCAGGTTATGTTTTCTGCCAAGAGAGAGAGAGCAGTCGGATTACCTCAGTATTTAAATTGATTTTGACGGAAAGCAGAGAGGGACATAAGAAAAAAAGAGTTTTAGTGGGACGGGAACATGCAGCGCATACTTAAGACTCTCAACTGTCTGTAGACATGTGAAAACAGTACGTTAATCAAGCTTGTCCTCTCAACAGGTGACAGATAACACCCTGGTTCAGCTGTCCATCCACTGCCCTCGCCTGCAAGCACTGGTAAACATTTACGTCTACAGTTCTGATTTTGTGCCAGGTTCTGCCTCAACCTGTCTGCATGCGTATGGAGCTTTAATCCATCTATCTGTTTGTCTTCAACCCTGTCTGCTGTGCCCTGGACAGTCCCTGTCCCACTGCGAGCTGATCACAGATGATGGCATCAGAGCTCTGAGCAGCAGTACCTGTGGCCAAGAGCGCCTCACTGTGGTGGAGCTTGACAACTGCCCCCTCATCACTGACGTGACCCTGGAGCACCTCAAGAGCTGCCATCGTCTGGAGCGCATTGAGCTCTATGACTGCCAGCAAGTCACCAGAGCTGGCATCAAACGCATCCGGGTCAGTGGAAATAATGGGGAACTGAAAGCTGTTATAATCACATCGAATCGGCTCTCGTTGGGGATTGGATCAGTGACTTCTTAAAATCACTTCTTTGCTCAGTTCTTCTCTACGTTATTTTATCTAAAAATCATATACTGTAGTTTACACTTGAATTAAAGAAACAGTTCAGCATTTTTTAAATTAAACGTATTATCTTTCTTGTCAAGAGTTAGATGAGATAATTGATACCACTCTCATATACATGTGTTAAATATAAGGCTATGGTCAGCAGCTGGTTAGCTTAGCTTAGCATAAAGACAAGAAAAAGGGGGAAACAGCTAGCCTAGCTCTGTCCAAAGGTTAAAAGAATCTGCCTACCAGCACCTTTAAAGCTCGCTAATAAACGTGTCACAATGTGTTGGTTCAATACGTAAAAACTGAAGTGTAAAAAGAACAATTTGGTATTTTACTGTGGGTCAGGTGCCTGACTATTTTGGAACAGTAACTAATCAGCGGTGACTCCAGGAGATTTCTATGACTGCTTCCAGTCTTTGTGCTAAGCTAAACTAATCGGCTGTTCATACGCTCTTTTTCTGTGTCTTTGTGTCTTTTTACACTGTTGTATTAACACACCTCTTCCCTACACAGGCCCACCTTCCAGAGATCAAAGTCCACGCCTACTTTGCCCCAGTGACACCCCCTCCCTCTGTACATGGAGGTGGCCAGCGTCTGTGCCGCTGCTGCATCATCCTCTGACAGTGGAGGGCCAGGGGGGGCCACCTCTGTCTACAGGTCCTGCTGCTCTGACATGGGCTGAAAATGGGTCGGGGGGGGTGGGGACTAGGGTAGGTGTAGGGGAGAGGAGGGGCTGGACCCACTCACTGCTCCTGATCACTGATCAATACATAGACTGATCACCACTGATCCCTGATCAGTTGAACCCTGCCCCTCCTCTCCTCTTACTCACCAGTCAGCAGTGCAGAAGCCCCGGGTTTGGGGCGTGGAGGGGTGGGTGGAAAGAACATGGATGGATGGACTTTTTCTCTCTCTGTCTCATTCTCTTTGTCACTGTAAAGACAAAAACAGGTTCTCCACTCCTCTCTGCTCCTCGCACCCCTGACTCTCCACCTGTGGGCGTAGAGGACTGCATCTGCACAGCTGGAGATGAGGGAGGGAGTCTGAACAGTGGAACAACAATGCATCATGTTCAAACAAAAAAAAAAAAGGAAAGATGATATTGTCAGATTGGACAACAGTTCGCTCTCTGTGGAGTAGTGGAGTATCATCTCAACCAATCACATGACACCTCTATGTGACCATCCTGTGATTCATTCTGCTTTGACCAATAAACACGCAGCATGGAGGGCGAGGAGAGGAGGAAATGCAGATCTTCTGGATATAAACAGTGACGCTTTGGCACAGCCAGCTCAACTCTCTAGTGTGGAAGAGTTGAGATGAAAAAACAGGAAGTACAGAATGGGACATGTGACATATTTGTGCATCTGAGAAACTTTTGTTGAGATTTTGATTCTGTTCGTACAGAGAATGTTTTGCAAAAGGAAAAAAAAGAATTACACAAATCGCAAATCACTCAAACTTCGGGTAGGCCAACAAAAAATGGTTTTATTTTCTTCTTTTTTTTCCCAGTGCTTATTGTAATTGTCTATGCCTGTCTATCCAGAGAGGGAGATATGTTTGTCATTCTTTTTTAAACAGAAAAGAAAAAAACTGTTACTGCTTGACAAAAAAAAAGGACCTATGATTCAGACCCGCAGTGTCTAAAAGCGTGTTGACTCTGTATGCTGATAGGATGAGTGGCCTCTCCTGTGCACTACGTGGTTATGTTGGCTCGTAGGCCCTGATCCAATCCTGTCAGTAGCCCTGTGCACTAGCTCCTACTTGACCACTTAAGAATTTGTTTACATTCAGGATTAGGTTAGCACCACAGACAAACTTGTTTACATTAGTAGGTTTCCAGTCTCCCTACAATTCAGAGTGAGTTTAGTAACACTGAAATAACTGTGGTACACCCACTGTTTTTACAGGACTGTGGAGTTCATTATTCAAATGTATTGCTGTGTGTATTTGGATATCAATCAGGGCTAACGTTGGTGCAACTTTGCTTCAAAATGAAATGAAAATTTGCTTAAAGCTGAAATGACAGGTATAAGAAAGTGAGCAAAGGCACCTCAACTTTTTGACAATCACGTGAATTTATGTATTTGAAAGTTAATTTAGTGTAATTTTGTGTAATTGGCATTTACTGATGATGTAAGATATAATGAATTATCTGTAGACAATATACACCCACTTAATGGCCCGAGCAGCAAAGCGAATTATTTAGAATTAGTATTTGACACAAGTCTAGTGTGATCTGTCAGTCTAAAATGTTTAATTGACCAGCAACAAATTACCACTATCCTACAAAACATATGCGGCAACAGGAATGGCATATGCCGTGACTGCAAAGCCCCAGAACCACCAATGTATTTCACTCTATACAGACACTCCTTGAGACCAACAGGATCTCAACATTATCTGTCTTGCCATGCAGAACGACACATGTATGGGACATGACATACTGAAAGCACTGAAAATACAACAAAACACAAGCAGTTTGCAATATTGCTCTAAACAAGAGACTGGGAAGTGCTGTGTAGTGCCAAGTGCTCAAAGACTGGGGAGATTGGCAGGACGATGGATAGGACTGAAACAAGGAAAGCAGACAGACAGAATGAAGAAAGACTCAGATGAACTCGGAGACATAGCTGACTTGACTGGCTGTGATACTAATGCCCTCTCTTTGACAGCTGTTTTAACAGTTTTATGTTTAAGAAAATAAAGAAATAAATGAAAAAAATAAACAAATGAATAAATAAAAGTGACTAATAGTAAATGTGCTTTGTCTCTCTGGTGTGAGATTTTGTCTCCCAGTAACTAAAGCAGGTGACTCAAACCGCTGGCCCCGGGGGCAATTTCTGTCCCCCCTCCCTTTGGCCTGAAACCGATATTTCTAAATATATTTAAATATAACTCACCCACAAATTCAATATTATTTTCTACTTCTTTCATATCAGTGTGAACTACCCCTTCACATTAAATGACAATTAATTATCAAGCACGGTGATGATGTAAAAATATATAGAAACTGCTGTTTGCAGTTTTTTGTTGAGTATGATGTTACCAATGAAAGTATTTTGGGAATATTGCGTTTTCTTGTAGTACTTAAACGTTAAAGTGGCCCTCCTATGGCCGCAGTGGCGCCAATACAATTTGAGTTGGAGACTCCTGATCTAAAGAGTACGTTTTTAATAAACTGCGGCAAACTAAATACAGACCACACCGCAGCTAAACCGCTAGATGTCACCCGAGAGCCGCGCAGACAGCAGACACACCCACATAAACAGCGCGGTGTGTCTCATACAAAGGGAACAGAAATAAATAATAACAAAAAATATATAATTGTATTCACTTCTCGTGTATCTATGACCATATTTATCCACACGCGTGGTCCACAGTACGGTTGATGATTTGATATTTTACATCAGGCACTATGCTGGCCAGCTGTGCGGTGCCCGAAGACCCATCGGCCTGATCGTTGATCGGTGGCTGCCCGGTAAACTGCAGCAGTCCCCGGCAGCGCTCCTCCTCTCGGCTCCTCCTCTCGGCTCCTCCTCTCGGCGGCACAGCGATTATTCTCGGCTTAAAGAGGAACCAGTTACCGCGGGACTGGAGCTCAGCCCTTATTGTGGGAGTTTGGTGCAACTTTACCGCTGAGGGACTCGACAGCTGGAAGCTCAGCAGACTTTCCAGCTTGTGGTCATGGAATAGAACCGGAGGGGAACCGGAGGGGAACCGGAGGGTTAGGCCTGCGGATAACTAACGGAGCTAACGGAGCTAAACAGGCTAACGGAGCTAGCTGATGTGAGGCGGTCTATCCTTGTTTGGGTCGCTGCGCTAACTAGCTGGGTGCTATTTTTTGTTAGCATAACAGACAGCCAGCCAGGATTGATAGTTTGTTTTGATGCGGATACATCGGAGGAACCTGCTGGTTGTGCACTACTATTAGCGGAAGTTTCTTAAAGTAATAAGTTATAAGTTATAAGTTAACCTTCTGAGCTGATGTTGTAACGATATAGTGAGGGAGCTAGCGAGCAACGTCTTTGTCATACAAAGTTGAGCTTTTGATTTGGGCAGAAGGATGATTTGTGAGTTAAATTAATTGTATTTTTTATTACAAGGGGTTGCATGTTGATGAACAAACATCCTTTAGACGCAGTCCAGATCACACAGCCTCTCTGCCCCTCATCGGGACTACAAATAAACCCTTTTTCGGACCCCGTCGCGCCGACCGCTGTCTCTTGTCTTCGGCTGGCTTCAGTGGCTGGCCACACGGCACCGAGTGCCCAATGGAGGAACATGACAACATGGACTATTTCTACCAGCAGGTAGTGCAGAAAGACGTAACCCGCAGGTTGCAGGTCGGTCAGGACCTCATTGACTACCTGAACGACCCGCAGCGCTCCCCGGACGTGGAGCAGGACAAACCCCGGCTGGATAAGACTGTGGACGAGCTAACGGGATGGGTGAACGCCAGCAATTTCAAGGTGAGAGATCTTGGTGTCACTGCAACAGTCGACCCCTTTTGGTCGTTTCATAGGCTTTAAATCTCCAGCAGTACCAGTACTTCTACCCAGTGAAGTGGTGATTTAATGTTATTGGCCAATAAGTTGGATTCAGTGCACTTCAGCAGAGACGGTAGTGGTATGAAGAGGACCTTGTGATCTCCTGTAAATCAGAGCTCATGAAACTGGTAGATAGAAGATTCACAATTTTATTTTGCATGTTCATACAGCACAGAACTGAAGGATGTGTTTCTTTTTTAACATCCTGGTAGCCCATTCCTGGATCACAAGAGGCAGGCAGTTTTAAATTTCACCCCAGCCGGTGACAGAGGAGGAGGTTTGCAGGGCATTCCTGTGGTTTGTTGAGGTTTATATCATTGTTTCAGCTGAGACTGTGTGTCTGTGTTCAGGGGACCCATTGTCAGCACTGTACGACATATTACTGGAGCACTGGGTGGGATGGAGGATGGGGGAGGGGTTAGGAGACTCATTGTTATGACCTATGTCTGCTCTCCATCTCTCTTACACACATATAGACCCACGCTCTCATTATCTCCTTTAGCCTTCTCTCACATTTTCACTTCATGCTCTATATATATATATGTGTGTGTGTGTGTGGTGGCCTTTTTCTGCACTCTTTGCCATATCACAAAAATGTGGAATGTGACATTTTTGCCAAGGTATCACGTCGGTCCAGACGGCAAATTAAAACTGTCTGCAATCTGTTTTCGAGGCGTGCTGAAATTGGACTCCTCTCACTCTTTTTGAACTGATTAACATTGTCTGCACTGATATGCAGGAGTCAGCAAGACTGTAAGAGCGTGGAAATTGTGCTTTTCTTTCATCCCCTCTTGGTCTCTCTTTCCAGTGGTTGAAAATGCTCATTTGACTTGGTTGTGATAATCTTTTAAAAACAACTTGGTCAACTAATTCCCATTTACTACAGAGTACGTGATAAGTATTAGCCAATACCGCTGTTTTAATTGGCTACACTTATTTCAAGCACCAATACAACAAGTATCTAACATTTGTTTTCTTTTAGAGACAAATGAAGACTTGAATCATTAGGTGCACATATTGGGCAAAACAACAGTTAAGGTTTTATAAATTCTCCGTTTCACATCTTACAATTTCTAAATAATTAGAGATTCTGCACAGTCCCATGATATTCTAGTTTCGCATCATACCTCAAAACAAATTTAAGGTGGGTTTAAAGTGATTATAGATGAGAAAACTGTAGACATTCGCAGGAATAGGGGAAAAGTGGAGGTGGATTTTTGTGGTTTTAGATCTAAAAGATCTTTCTTGTTGTGAGAAAACCATTCTTTGTTTACTCTGAACGTTTGCAGTTTAGACTTGAACATTAATCGAAGGTGATTTTTTTTATTATGTTGTACGCTTCAGGCTTCTCTTCCACTTCAGTGAACCAACATGTTTGATGTGAAAAAGCAAAACCGGCGCCACCTCTAAGTCCACCTCCATGAATTTCATCCCAAGCTGCAACGAGCTAATGTGTCCCTTTTGTTCGCATTAGTTTTTTTCTGTGGATGACACATATGGTAACCTGAGCTCAGATCAGAGTCTGGCAGTGATGAGCGAGAGACCCCCAGAGGCCTTCACATAGCAGGCCTTTGGTGATTCTGATTGGCTCCCTGTCGGGCAAAAGGGCAGCGGACTTAGCTGTAAGCAAGATGCTGAGTCAGCACACAGAGAGGGAAGAAAGGAGTGATGGTGGGAGAGGTGGAAAATGAAAGAGGAGTTAAAGGGGGATTTGAGAGCTGGAGTGATAAATGGGGTATGGGTAGGGGAGCGGAAAACACAAGTCACGACTCATAAATACATTACATGTTCAGATAGGCCGACTGTCGCACCCAAGTTCCTCTTTCAGGAAGGGATAAAATGTTGTATTTCATCCGTCCCTTGGCTCTCCTCATCTCTCTGTTTCACTTGTGTGACTTTGTCTGCGCCTTTTTTTGGCAATGAGTCAGTTTCACCCTCATCTTTCAATAGGTAGAAGAGCAGACTCCCTTTATATGCTTTGCTCTTACAAAATCACAGAGGCCTCAGTGCCTGAAGGCATTAATTTTGCATGATGCATTTATGGGCAGCAGGGCCAAATGACTGGACACTGACTGGACTGATCGAAGGTTGACTGCTACCAGCCTGCGCTGAACAGACATCTTTGTGATTTCATTTAAATTAACATTGGGTATCAAAAATGCTTAATGATGTTGATACGAGATGATACACTCAGACCTTGATAGAATATGTATCACTGTGCTGTTTTTAAGATACAACAAGCAAACAGATCAAACACAGTCTGCAGGCAGCATTTACCAGTTAAAAGTATCCACTGCAGTATTAAAATATTCTAATTTCTCTTTTGTTAGTCTCCTGTTACTGCAAATTCAACTCTTTGTACAGATGGTTCACAATGGAAACCTTCCAGTAAGGAAAATTGATTGCAGCTTTTAAACATTTTTGCCTGCTGTATTAACAGTAGATTGGTGTTTAGGAGAAGAGCTCCAGCTGCTTATTGCAGTTTGGTCAAATCTCAGAGCTCAAATACAGAAAATGAAGGTATGCTTTTCCTATTATGTTGCGATCATCTCAGCAATGTTAGGCACTACCCACACCCTTAGGAAAATCCTGTAACAATTTAAAAAAAAAAATTATCTGGTACTACATGAAACAAAGGCACCTTTTCCCATTTCTTAATTCCACAAAATTCAGTGTAACAACAACTTGCCTACCAATCGCCCAGTGTCCAGCGAGATGAAAGTGAGTATATATTTAGCCACACAGTGTGAGCAGGGATTTGAACTTCCATGAGCCTCCCATAGGAGCCTGTAAATATGTGCTGTTTTTGCTTGATAAATGGCTTGAATAGATTACCAAATTGTTGTTGATTAACTGATCAACTGATGGATTGAAGGCCAAATTGTTCCAGCACATTTTGTCCACTCTCAGATGTTGCTGTGTGAGCCTTTGGCCCCGTTTTTCTGTCCAAAACTCACTTTAAGCCTCCCTAGAATCCAGAGTAAACCGTGTACATGGTATGCGAATTAACAGGCTAAGCCACCATACGCGCCCACCTCAGTCCTCACAAAGAACCATTCATACAGGGCTAAATATTTACTGTTTTATACCGAAGTTTTTTCGTATTTGTGGGTGATACCTAAGTGCCCATTTGGCCTTTCTTCTTTGCTCCCTCATTCCTGCCTCAACCCTAGTCAGACCTTCACTGGAAAAGGCCTTTTAAAGCAGAAGTAAAC